AAAGAACAAATAACTCAATCAGGAAATGGGCAGAAGACATGAACAGACATTTTTCCAAAGAAGACATCCAAATGGCCAATAGACACATGAAAAAGTGCTCAACATTGCTCAGCAGCAGGGAAATCCAAATCAAAACCTCAATGAAATACCACCTCACACCAGTCAGAATGGCTAAAATTAACAAGTCAGGAAATGACAGATGTTGGCGGGGATGTGGAGAAAGGGGAACCCTCCTACACTGTTGGTGGGAATGCAAGCTGGTGCAGCCACTCTGGAAAACAGTATGGAGGTTCCTCAAAAAGTTGAAAATAGAGCTACCATATGATCCAGCAATGCACTACTGGGTATTTACCCCAAAGATACAAAAGTAGGTATCCTAAAGGGTACGTGCACCCCGATGTTTATAGCAGCAATGTCCACAATAGCCAAACTGTGGAAAGAGCCCAGATGTCCATCAACAGATGAATGGATAAAGAAGATGTGGTATATATACACAGTGGAATATTATGCAGCCATCAAAAGGAATGAGATCTTGCCATTTGCAATGATGTGGATGGAACTGGAGGGTATTATGTTGAGCGAAATAAGTCAAACAGAGAAAGACATGTATCATATGATCTCACTGATATGTGGAATTCTTAATCGCAGGAAACAAACTGAGGGTTGCTGGAGTGGGGGGTGGGGTGGGAGGGATGGGGTGACTGGGTGATAGACACTGGGGAGGGTATGTGCTCTGGTAAGCGCTGTGAATTGTGAAAGACTGTTGAATCTCAGATCTGTACCTCTGAAACAAATAATGCAATATATGTTAAGAAAAAAAAAAGAAGAAGAAGAAGTTAGCAGGAGGGGAAGAATGACGGGGGGGAAATCGGAGGGGTAGATGAACCATGAGAGCCGATGGACTCTGAAAAACAAACTGAGGGTTCTAGAGGGGAGGGGGGTGGGAGGATGGGTTAGCCTGGTGGTGGGTATTGAGGAGGGCACATTCTGCATAGAGCACAGGGTGTTATGCACAAACAATGAATCATGGAACACTACATCTAAAACTAATGATGTAATGTATGGGGATTAACATAAGAATAAAAAATAAAAATAAATAAATAAATAAATAAATAAATAAATAAATAAATCAACTCAAAATGTATTAAAGACTTAATCAAAGACCTGAAATTACAAAACTCCTAGAAGAAAATATAGGGAAATTTTTCATAAAATTGGTTTTAGTTATGATTTCTTGGGTATTATATCAAAATCATGGCAACAAAAGCAAAAACAGACAAGTAGAACTACATTAAATAAAAATCTTCTGCACAGCAAAGGAAACAATCAATAGAGTGGTAAGGCAATCTATAGGAAGGGAGAAAATATTTGCAAACAATATATCTGAGGGGTTAATATCCAAAATATATAAGGAACTCCTACAATTCAACAGCAAAACCCCCCAAATAATCCAATTTAAAATGGGCAAAAGACTTAAATACACATTTTTCCAAAGACATATACAAATGACCAACAGGTATATGAAAAGATCCTCAATATCACCAATCATTAGGGACATGAATGTCAAAACCACAATGAGATATCACCTCACAACTATGAGGATGGTCTTTTTTTAAGTGCTAAAAGAGAAATTGGAACCCTTGTGCACTGTTGGTAGGAATCTGAAATGGTGCTGCCACTATGGACAGCAGTGTTGATACTGCTGAAAACATTAAAAATAGAACTGCCAAGGGCACCTGGCTGGCTCAGTCAGAGGAGCATATGACTCTTGATCTCAGGGTTATGAGTTTGAAGCCCACATTGGGTGTAGAGATTACTTAAATAAATAAATAATTTAAAATATTAGAACTACCATAAGACCCAGCAATCCCACTTTTGGGTATTTACCCAAAAGAATTGAAATCAGGATCTCCAGGAGATAGGTGCACTCCCATATTCATTATTCACAAGAGCCAAAGGCAGAAACAACCTAAATGTCCACCAATGGATGAATAAAGAAAAGGCAGAAACAACCTAAATGTCCACCAATGGATGAATAAAGAAAATGCGGTGTAGATATACAATGGGATATTATTCAGCCTTAAAAAAGAAGGAAGTCCTGTCACATACTACAACACTTTTAAACCTGATTATGCTGTGAAATAAGCCAGTCAAAGAAGGACAAATACTAAATGATTCCACTCATATAATGTATATCAAGTAATCAAACTCATAGAAGCAGAGAGTAGAATGATGGTTGCCAGGAGCTGGGTGGGGATTTGCTGTTCAATGGGTATAAAATTTCATTCATGAAAGATTAAAAAGTTCTGGATATCTGTTGTACACCATGTGCTTATAGTTAACAATACTGGAATGTACATTTAAAAATTTGTTAAGAAGGTGGATCTCATATGTTTTTTTACCATAATAGAAACAAAAGGATATATGCTCTTAAGTATTCACAAAACAAAAAAAAGCATCAGTTTTATCTGCATCCTCCAATTGACCTCAGCTCAGAAGCTCTAGGCAGTTCTGGCTTGTCCTCAGGACATCATTTTCTCAGGTGTCTGAAATTCTTCTTCTGAGCAGTATTAAAAAAAAAAAAAAAGCAAACACTGATTTTATTCTTCATACTGACCACACACATAAATCAGAATGAGATATAAGAGACCTATAGTGTCCAAGGTTTCCAAGCATACAGGCCCATTTCAGCCCTTTTAATGTGTGGTAGGTTGCAAAACTGGCTACAATGCTCCACCCCTTCTGTAGTCCCAGCCTTTAGAGCACCTGCCATTAGAAGGTGGTGTCCATTTCCTTACTCCTTGAAGTTGGGCCAACTCCATGACTTGCTTTGGCCAATAAATGCAGCAGATATGATGTACTTTCTTGGACCCTCTGCCTCCTAGGACCTTCTCACCATCATATGAACAAGCCTGCACTGGCCCTCTAACGGGGCCATCCTAGACCAACCAGCCCCCAGCTGACCTGGGAGCTGACCACAAACACTTAAGTGAGCCCAGCTGACATCAGTCTGGCCCAGATCAACTGAGCCCAGCCCAAACTGTTGACCCACAGAACCATGAGCTTAAAAAATGGTGGTGTTTTAAGCCACTATCTTTTGAGGTGCTTTGTTACACAGCAAAAACTAACTGATACAATATATATCCCCAATTCTTATGATCATAGTTGCTCTTCTGAATTAACCCCTTTTAAGATCCTCCCCAGAATCTCCTCCAGGTACACAGCATGGATCTCTTCCTCAAACTACTATTTGCATGAAGCTTTTTATTATAATATCATTAAAATAAAGGAGAGAGGCCTCTCATCAGGATAATTTGTCGTTACTCAATTCAGGCTCAGGTGGACTTTTCAATTTGGTCAGACAGCAGCTTCATTCTTGGCTCACCCCAGAGCACAAATGTTAGCCTCCTCCTTGTTTTTTTCCCCCAAAGTTCTTGGAAACATGTAAGTCTTCCCTTGCATTCACAGGGGACTAGATTTCACATATTCTAGGTCACTCTGGATCCCTTTCCCTCATCAGTGCACTCCTCTGATTGGCACTCCCCACTCTACAGCTCTACTGAAGGAACCCAAATGCAGAGCTCAGTTGAGTGTTTCTGACACTCTTCTGAACACTGTATCAATAGCACATACTTCCTTAATTTCACACATGAATTTTTCTCTACTTAAGTGAGCTCCACAGAATTTCCTTTGCACCTTCCTGAAGCACAAGAAACCTCTCTCCATGTGTGGTACACATCTTTGCTTCTGCCTTCACAACACCCACTTCCCCTTCTTCTGGGAACAGCATTGACACTTTCCAAGGGAACAACTTCCTCCTCTCTTTCTAGAGATGTGGGTTGAATGTAGTCCTATCAACCCTTGGCTGCAGAGGTGGGCACGTGACCCAGCTCTGGCAGGTCAGAGCATGCCTCCTCCTGGCCAGCAATCGATTCTTACTGGGGCACATGACTCCATCAGAACCAGTCAAATTCAAGTCTAGGACTTATGTGGAAACTGTCAGAGACCACCCACCTTTTGACTGGAAATGCTGATAACACAAGAAATTAGAACAGAGCTACTGGGCAGCCATCTTGTCACTATGAAGAGAAATCCTGCCCCAAAATGAAGCAACAGACACTGACAATGTTAATGACATAATTTGAGTCTTTGGAGTAATCAGCCATGCCTAAGAAAGCTATCATGATCCTTTTGACTTTTTTGTTCTTTTTTGTTTAAACCAGACTGAACTAAGTTACGGTTGCTTGCAAACAAAGATGTTCTACTACATCCCACATCTTTCCCTTTATACAGATTAGAACTTACCACTGTTAAATGGAAAGCAGGATGATTCATATGAAGTTGAAGAATGGTTAACCTAGTCTATGGTGATCCCTAGCTGCCCATTTCCTTTCCCTATACACTTTGTCTTTCACTGGGGATGTCGGAGCTTATGGCAGTTTTAAGATGGAGCTGCACATTGTTTGATCCTCCTCCCACTGAGGGCTGGGTCTCAGTGCCCCAGCTCTTGCCATTGAATCTGGACAGGCTTGTGACCACGGAGAACAATCAGGTCAGTGGCAGTGATGTCATGTGACCTTCCAGGCTTGGTCTTCATCTGCCTTGTTTGTTGGCACCAGCATGCTCAGAGCCATAAGCCACCACCTACAATGCCACCAAATCCCAGAGCAGCCACTCTGGGGCTGCAACACATAGGTGCCTAGTCGGCAGTGCCACCTCAGCAGATGCCAGCCCTCCAGGCCCAATGGCCAGACACGGCAGTGAGAAGCCACCTTGGAGGACAATACCCCTTCCCTGCTCTTCCAGATCCTGCCAGTCCACTGACCCATCACCATTCAAGGTGATCCCCCAAGGCCTATACACATGGGTCCTTTCTGGATCCTGATCTAAATGATCCACAGACATAACAAATGGAGATTGTTTCCTGCCACTCAGTTTTAGTGTGGTTTGTGACACAGCCACAGACACCTGGGACCAGACCCCTCCACTCCTGGCCTTACCTCACAACGTCCACTGATGCAGCCCCTGACTTGAAGAAATCAGTGGAGTCTTCCACCTCCAGAACACTGGGGAGAATCCGTTTCCAGGCACTCTAAAAAAAAGGTGCAATGAGAAAGGGCTCACAGGGGAGCTGGGAGAAGGCACCTTTGGGGTGAGAGCAGCCCCTGATATGTGTTTGGACCACCTATTGCCAGGCTGGGCTTTCTGCCCACTCCAAGGCGCTGCTGCTCTCAGGAGCCTCATGGTAATGGAGCAATTGCCTCCTTGGGGAAGTAGAAGCCCAAGGAGCTCAGCTACTGTCCTCCTGCCCACCTCACCTTGACCCCAACTTCTTTGGGATCTCCATACCAGTTCAGGGGCAGCAGGAAGACCAGACATAGAGAGCTCAGGGCGTGGCTGTGGACCAGCTACTCCCAAGCCCACTTCATGCCCAGCCTCACCTGGGTGCTGTCATCCAAGGGAGGTCCCCAGAGTGACACTGGTGTTTGGGTATGTTGCATTGTGGAAGGGAAAGCAAAGTGTGGGGGTGGTTCTCAGGGTAAAAATGAGGCACACTGATGGGGCTCAGGAGGCCTGGGTCTTCTCACTGATAGCTGGTTCTATGCCCCTCTGTCCTGGGGCCTGTGGAGGGCAGCAGTGCCCACCAGCCAGCTCCATGGATGAGCATGGAAAGGGCAGTGCCAGTGGCCAACACCATCCAGAATTCTAAGACCATCCAGTGGGTCAGGATGGGATGGCTGTTCTCTGGCTGAGTTCCCAGTTGGGCTTCTCAGGACAGAAGAGGATGCCTCACACTCTGTCTGAACTTCAGGCCTGGCTGGTCACTGGTCCAGATGGAGGTGGGAAGGTCCAGTTAGGACCAGCCCCCTGGCACTCTTAACCCAACTTCTCCTTGGCTCTTTCATTCTTGGAAGGGTGTTGTGATTTGCCCTTCCCATCCTCAGTGTGACCGTCAGCAGCCATGCTGAGCCACTCCTTATCCCCACTGGACTCCTGCCTGCCCTCAGGCCTCCGTCTGGGTCTTTGCCCACCAGTGATGCCCTTCTCTGAACCCCAGCTCATGTTTAAATCCTGGGCATCCTCTGGGGCCAACTGCTGTGTCACTTCTTCCCTGAAATCTTCACTGACTGCTCTGCTGGCAAGGGCTACCCTCTTCAGACTCAAGTGGCCTGGGGCCACAAGTCACCTGCTGATATATGGGTGTACCATCCTATGATGCCTACGAGATGCACTGGCCCTTATAAGATGCATATGGAACCTCTGAGAGGCAGTGCACCTCAAAGCCGCACTGCCTCACTCAGACCCCAGCTTGGCTCCTGACAAGCCATGGAGATGTAGACAGCCCCTCAATGCCTACTTCTTCATCTGTGCAAGAGGCTGATAACGGCTGTGGAGATGTCTTGCCTGAGGCAGGAAGGGCATTTGGTGTACAGAGGAGCTCAGCAAATGTGGCATTTGTGCCACCTGCAGTGCTCTGCACAGCCCTGGCTCAGGAGGGTGTTTGGCTGGGCTTGTTGCCCACGGCCCACTCCAGCCCATGGCATGCACTTGGTGAGGTCTGCTGAATGGAGAACACAGCTGACCCCTGCTAGCGCCACTAGGCTGGGCTCTCTCTATCAACACCAGGGCCACAACCACCCCACACTGCCCTCTCCTCCCTGGCTATATCCCCTCCCCCTCAGTTGCCTCCAGGCATTCTGAAAGGGCCAGCCCAGCTATGACCAATAGGTGTCATGATAACAATGCTATGGATGACCGAGGCCATGTGGCAAGCAGCACAGCAGTGGAGGCCAGGACTCCAGCCCCACCAGCTGGGCTCCAAGCCCAGGCCTGTGCTCATCTGCTGTGACCCCGCCTTGGGCCTCAGCTCCTCGGCTGGGAGATGAAGGTAATAATAACACCTGCTTCATGGAATTATTACAGTAATTAAACACAATACCATTCCTGAAGTGTTTAGAACATGACACGGGTACACACTCTGCAAGTATGTGCTTCTTTTGATGACCGTTAGGCTCCCTGCCAACATTTATTGAGGCCCTCATAGGTGCTGCTGAGTGGACCCTCTCCATATGTGTTCTCTCCTCTACCACTCACAACACCCATGGGTGTGGGGTTTATTCTTCCCAGTGCACAGATGAAGGACACAGTTGTAGCAGCTTCTGACTCAGGTTTAACATACAACCTTAGCCCACCCCAAGTGCCACTCAACTGGAAGCTCCAGAAGGCCAATTTGTCCAGCAGCTGGCCCAGTAATCCCCAGTGGGCACAGGGCTGGGGCCAGAGCAGTGGCTCCAAGAATAGTTTTGAATGAACAGGCTTTTTTTTTTTTTCTCCTTTTTTTACAGACATTCAGAATATTTAGCTTTCTACTAAGGAAGTGCTCAGTGCCCTCTGGAGCAAGGCCAGCTCCTCATGTCCCTCCCTTGCTGAGTCCTGTCCCCTGCACTTGTCATCAACACCCACGGTCACCACTGTGGCTGCAAACTGGCCCACCTTCACTAAACACATCTCTCCTTCCCCCAGAACTCTCTCCATTCACCTCCCCTCCTCCTGCCCAGGGGAGCCTGCCTTGATTATTCCTTCTGAAGTCGTCCTCCGGCCTCCAAGGACCTTGTTTCCATCACCCTGTTATTTCGCTCATGGTACTTCTCTTTGTCTGAAATTATCTGGTTTATGTTTGGCTGTTCATTGGCTCTCTTCCCCATGGAAAGGGACACTTCATGACAACAGGGACACTGCTTATTGTCATATTCCTAGTGTCTGACTTAGCACCTGGTATTTGATAGGAGCCCATATGTATTTCTTAAATAAGTCACTGAGTACATGATTGAATGAGTGAAAATTCATCTAACGCCTTCCATTCAATAAGGCTAAATGCCATCGATACCATGTCTCCCAAGGAGAGAGAGATGAGTGGGGGGAGCAGGCAGGACGAGGAACAACTCTAGGAGGTGACCACTGATTCAACTTGTCGTTGGAGGGACTGAGTCTCAGAGAGGGAAGTGCTCTCTGGCATCATGCAGGGCAGCTGGACTGGAGCCCAGGTCTGCCTGACTATGATGCCCATGCTGGTCACAGTGCAAGAGACTCCTTCTCAGGGAGCTTTTCTGGAAGGTTACAGTGCACACATTCTCATCAAAGTGTCATGGACTTGGCACCTGCCTTTGTCATCTACCCAGGGGCTTCTTGCTTCATTTGTCCACCACTGACAAGGAGTCCTTAGGAAAGTCAGACCCAGCCAGCCAAATCCCAGTGCTCCAGTGACAGAAGAAGAGAGTAAGGAGACATCAGAAAACCCCAAGACAGGACAGAACCATCACTATGCCTAGGGTAAGCACATAAATCCATAGAGCGTGTGCATACCCAACTCCAGGGAGCATGAGTCAAAAAACACATGTGCAGTGCACAACCTGTACAATCAGACAGAATCCCTGAGGGGTCTCTTACCCTCACAGCCTCTGCCATGACCAGCTCTTCCTCAGTCAGCTCAAGGGCATTGCTGTCCACTCCCTTGAAGAAGTGGGAGGCTGGGATCATCTTGCCATCCTCCAGCTGGATGTTCTTCACCAGCAACTGCAAAAAGAAGGTTTCACAGCACCTAAGGTTGCCCTCCTCTCAGGGAAAAGAGCAATTTCACACAGAGCACTGTGCTGGGCACCCCACACACTTCATCTCCAACCCTCACCACAAGAAAGGCACAAGATTAATGAGGAAGAGAGACGTTCAGAGTGGGCGTGCTGGCTAACCTAGGGACACGGAGGGAATGGTAGAGCTCATGTCTGCCGGTCACCCACCCCCACCAAGCTCTCACTTCTTTTTAAGTGTAATGATTTTATTATTTCTATAAAAATGCCTACTTATTAGACAAAAATAATTCAATCACGACTTTGAAAGTCAATCAAGAAAACAACTAATCCCGCAATAGTCCAGCTCCCAGAAACCCCATGGAAACATCTGGTGAAGGTCATTGGATGTCCCATGGGGCCTAGAGGTGGGAAGAGGAGCAGACGAGGACATCTGTGTTTGACAAGAGTGGTTTCTAAGAATGGCACACTCTATATCCACTCTGATATAACTAGAGCCAGGTTCCCTGCCTGATCTCCACCCTTTTGCCTTTTGGAGATACTTGGGAGCTTTCTGTGAGCTAAAGCCCAGCCAGACTCAGCTAGAAGTTTCTGAAAGATGCTTCAACCAGGGGTCTCTGCCAAGGCTGCTTCCTTTGCTTTGCTGTCCTGTGGACATCATGGAAGGTGCAGTTGGTGCCCCCCTATCCAGAGCTCCTCTTGGATGGTGTCCCCATCCTCCAGCTGCTGCATGGGTGAGCCATTAGCAGCCTACATCTGCACCTTCCTACTCCATGGATGTTGCTGGATAGACACAGCCACAGACAGAGAGGCCCAGGGACTATGCCTCATTGCCAATCCCCTTCCCCAGGGGCAGCAGAAACTGAGGACTTAGTGATGTGAGCATGCAGGGGCATAATCAGCAGATGCAATTCACACTGGATGAGATAAAGGCTGGAAGACTCCAGAACCCCTATATCTTTGCTTATCATTGTCCTCTGCCTCAGCTTAGCCCTAGGTTGTATGGGATTTTCCAAGAGTACTCCCTCGATAAATTAGATGCACAAGAACTCCTATCTCAGATGCTGCTTCTAGGGAACTTGACCCAAGACAGATAGCATATTTCAACTGCATGTATCAAGCATGAATACCTAAAACACCTGATCACTATAAATTGCAGACACTGATGGCAGCCTCAGGCCCTCCAATGGCAGGGCACAGCAGGGTGGGCACCCAGAGTGAGCTCACACCAAGCCCCAGCAAAACTGCTCCACTCTCCATCTGGCCTATACACACCGATGCAGCCAATGGTTCAACATCCATAGGGTTAGTTGAAATCCTCAAAGTGCTTGGAGACCCCTCCTTGTACTCCTTCTTCTCTGCCCCCAGTATCTTAAGGTCCAGACCTGCCAACCACTGGATGGAGTAAGTATTAGTGGTGAAGAGGTGGGCCTTGGAGCCAGAATTTTAGGGCTTGAATCCCAGCTCTGCCACAAACTAATTTGGTGATGTTAGGAGGGTTATTTAAACCTCTTTGCTTCAGTTTTCTTTTCTGTAAAATGAGTATAATACATATCTCATATGTATTATATGTTGTTGGGAAAATCAAATTTAATAAATTGTTTTAAAATAGTGCCCAGGCACACAGAAGGCACTTCATCAATGTTAGCTGTTACTCAGAGTCGCAGAGTCTCCTAACGTGAGTCAGGGCATGGAGTGTGCCCAGCATGGCTTCAGGGGTTCTTCACCGTGATGTCCCTGTTCAGAAAGAAGGAAACTGAGGCACAGAGATTCAGTGACCACAACCAGTGGCACCTGGACACTCTGCTGGACCAAAATGAGGCTCCAAGTTCAGGGCCCCTGGGACAGGGCCTCTCCCTGATTCCAGTACCCTCACAGGGCACCCAGCTCTGGCTGAGGAGCCTGGTCAGGAAGAGCAAGGAAGGGGCCAGCCTTCCCAGAACAGGGAAGTACAAACATAGGGTTTTCCAGACTCCCAGAGCCTACAGTCTCATTTTCCCATTTTCTCCAGAGCAGCCTGGGGGGCTAATTCCAGACCTGAGCCCCTGGAGCCTACAGTATAGACACGTGACTGACAGCAGCACCATTACCATTCTGTCATCATTCCCGAAAAGGATGAGTCCCGCTTTGGTGACTACCCCTGGCCGATGGGCTCCCAGGATGGGCAAATCTTCTCCCTCGGGCACCAAGCCTGCAGTGTTCAGCGTTGAGTTGAAGAAAGTCAGCTTCTGTTGAGGACAGGAAAACCAGAAGATGGTGGATGAAAAAACCTCCCACTGCTGGCAGCCCAGGCAAGTCTGAGCAGGGTTAAGGGGATGAAGGGGGGCCAGGCAGGGCCAGGGAGAGGAAGGAGGGGGCCAGGGCAGCCACAACGCAAGAACTGCAAACCCAAGAACTCTGCCTCTGGGGGCACAAACAAGACCTGGAGGAGCCTTGGAGGCCTCATGGAGCCCTCAAGCCCTGGACGTCCTTTAGACCCTATTAACTGGCCCTTGGCCTCAGATCTCAGGCAGACAGACACCAGGAGAAAATATGCTCAAGGCATCACAGAGTGCCCTGGGGATGCCACCAAGCACTGGTCACTTTGCAAAGACTCTTGTGGTGATGAGGGCAGGAGAGAGACTCCTGGACAGAGTCTGGGCAGCTGGACAGCAGTCAGGGGTTTGGACAGTCTGAAGCTTTGTGGAGGACAGGACTGCCCTCTGTGGGGAACAGATGAAGGTCCCCACTCACAGTCCTGCCAACAACTCCCAGTGCCTCTCAAGAGCCTGTGAGCCCCAGGGCTCACCATCTTCAGCATCTGAAGAATGCCACTGCCCAAACCCTGGCCTAAGCATACTGCCCCTCTCCACTAGGGCCAAGTCAAAGTCAGAGCTGGACTTGGGATCTCTGTGAGCCCAGGGGTGGGACTCAAAATATTTTACAAGAAATATAGCTTGAAGAACATTCCACCCTAAAACAACAGAATACTCATTCTTCTCGAGAGCACATGGAACTTTCTCCAGAATAGACCACATACTGGGTCACAAATCAGGTCTCAACCAATACCAAAAGATTGAGATTATTCCCTGCATATTCTCAGACCACGATGCTCTAAAACTGGAACTCAATCCCAAGAAAAAAATTGGCAGAAATTCAAACACTTGAAAGCTAAAGACCACTCTGCTCAAGAATGTTTGGGTCAACCAAGAAATCAAAGAAGAACTTAAACAATTCATGGAAATCAATGAGAACGAAAACACATCAGTCCAAAACCTATGGGATACTGCAAAGGCAGTCCTAAGGGGGAAATACATAGCCATCCAAGCCTCACTCAAAAAAACAGAAAAATCCCAAATTCACCAACTAACTCTACACCTTAAAGAACTAGAGAAAAAGCAACAAATGGCGCCTAAGCCACGCATTAGAAGAGAAATAATTAAAATTAGAGCAGAAATCAATGAATTAGAAACCAGAAACACAGTAGATCAGATCAACGAAACTAGAAGTTGGTTCTTTGAAAGAATTAATAAGATTGATAAACCACTGGCCAGACTTATACAAAAGAAGAGAGAAAGGACCCAAATTAATAAAATTATGAATGAAAGGGGAGAGATCACAACTAACACCAAGGAAATAGAAACAATTATTAGAAATTATTATCAACAACTATATGCCAGTAAACTGAGCAGTCTGGATGAAATGGAGGCCTTCCTGGAAACCTATAAGCTGCCAAGACTGAAACAGGAAGAAATAGACAACCTGAATAGGCCAATAACCAGTAACGAGATTGAAGCAGTGATCAAAAACCTCCCCAAAAACAAGAGTCCAGGGCCTGATGGATTCCCTGGGGAATTCTACCAAACATTCAAAGAAGAAATAATACCTATTCTACTGAAGCTGTTTCCAAAAATAGAAACAGAAGGAAAACTTCCAAACTCATTCTATGAGGCCAGCATTACCTTAATCCCCAAACCAGGCAAAGACCCCATCAAAAAGGAGAATTTCAGACCGATATCCCTGATGAATATGGATTCCAAAATCCTCAACAAAATCCTAGCTAATAGGATCCAACAATACATTAAAAGGATCATCCACCACGACCAAGTGGGATTTATCCCTGGGATGCAAGGGTGGTTCAACATTCGCAAATCAATCAATGTGATAGAACACATTAATAAGAGGAGGGAGAAGAACCATAGGGTCCTCTCAATTGATGCAGAAAAAGCATTTGAAAAAATACAACATCCTTTCCTGATTAAAACTCTCCAGAGTATAGGGATAGAGGGAACATTCCTCAAGCTCATAAAATCCATCTATGAAAAACCCACAGCGAATATCATCCTCAATGGGGAAAAGCTGAGAGCCTTTCCCTTAACATCAGGAACATGTCAAGGGTGCCCACTCTCACCACTGTTGTTCAACATAGTACTAGAAGTCCTAGCAACAGCAATCAGACAACAAAAAGAAATAAAAGGTATTCAAATTGGCAAAGAAGAAGTCAAACTCTCTCTTTTCGCAGACGACATGATACTTTATGTGGAAAACCCAAAAGACTCCACCCCCAAATTACTAGAACTCATCCAGCAATTCAGTAATGTGGCAGGATACAAAATCAATGCACAGAAATCAGTTGCTTTCTTTTTTTTTTTAAAGATTTATTTATTTATTTAAGAGAGAGAGAGTACATGAGAGGGGGGAGGGTTAGAGGGAGAAGCAGGCTCCTTGCTGAGCAGGGAGCCCGATGCGGGACTCAATCCAGGGACTCCAGGATCATGACCTGAGCCGAAGGCAGTCGCTTAACCAACTGAGCCACCCAGGTGCCCCAAAATCAGTTGCTTTCTTATACACTAACAACGCAACTGTAGGAAGAGAAATTAGAGAAACGATTCCATTTACAGTAGCACCAAAAACCATAAGATACCTCAGAATAAACCTAACCAAAGAGGTAAAGGATCTATACTCTAGGAACTACAAAACACTCATGAAAGAAATTGAAGGAGACACAAAAAGATGGAAAAACATTCCATGCTCATGGATCGGAAGAATAAACATTGTTAAAATGTCTATGCTACCCAGAGCAATCTATACCTTCAATGCCATCCTGATCTAAATTCCAATGACATTTTTCAAAGTGCTGGAACAAACAATCCTAAAATTTGTATGGAATCAGAAAAGACCCCGAATTGCCAAGGAGATGTTGGAAAAGAAAAACAAAGCTGGGGGCATCACATTGCCCGATTTCAAGCTATATTACAAAGCAGTGATCACCAAGACAGCATGGTACTGGCACAAAAACAGACATACAGACCAATGGAACAGAATAGAGAACCCAGATATGGACCCTCAACTCTATGGTCAAATAATCTTTGACAAAGCAGGAAAAAACATGCAATGGAAAAAAGACAGTCTCTTCAATAAATGGTGCTGGGAAAATTGGACAGCCAAATGCAGAAGAATGAAACTCGACCATTCTCTAACACCACTCACAAAGATAAACTCAAAGTGGATGAAAGACCTCAATGTGAGACAGGAATCCATCAAAATCCTAGAGGAGAACATAGGCAGTAACCTCTTTGACATCGGCCACAGCAACTTCTTTCAAGATACATCTCCAAAAGCTAGTGAAACAAAAGCAAAAATGAACTTTTGGGACTTCGTCAAGATAAAAAGCTTCTGCACAGCAAAGGAAACAGTCAACAAAACAAAGAGGCAACACACAGAATGGGAGAAGATATTTGCAAATGACACTACAGATAAAGGGCTGGTATCCAAAATCTATAAAGAACTTCTCAAACTCAACACCCAAAAAACAAATAATCAAGTCAAAAAGTGGGCAGAAGAGATGAACAGACACTTCTCTGAAAAAGACATACAAATGGCTAACAGACACATGAAAAAATGTTCATCATCATTAGCCATCAGGGAAATCCAAATCAAAACCACGCTGAGATACCACCTTACACCAGTTAGAATGGCAAAAATGGACAGGGAAGAAACAACAAATGTTGGAGAGGTTGTGGAGAAAGGGGAACCCTCTTACACTGTTGGTGGGAATGCAAGTTGGTACAGCCACTTTGGAAAACAGTGTGGAGGTTCCTCAAAAAGTTAAAAATAGAGCTACCCTAGGACCCAGCAATTGCACTACTGGGTATTTACCCCAAAGACACAGATGTAGTGAAAAGAAGGGCCATATGCACCCCAATGTTCATAGCAGCAATGTCCGCAATAGCCAAACTGTGGCAAGAGCCGAGATGCCCTTCAACAGATGAATGGATAAAGAAGATATGGTCCATATATACAATGGAATATTACTCAGCCATCAGAAAAGATGAATACCCAACTTTTACATCAACATGGATGGGACTAGAGGAGATTATGCTAAGTGAAATAAGTCAAGCAGAGAAAGTCAATTATCATATGGTTTCACTTATTTGTGGAACATAAGGAATAACATGGAGGACATTAAGAGAAGGAAGGGAAAAATGGGTGGGGGGAATTGGAGGGAGAGATGAACCATGAGAGACTATGGACCTGAGAAACAAACAGGGTTCTAGAGGGGAGGGGGGAGGGGGAATGGGTTAGCCCGGTGATGGGTATTAAGGAGGGCATGTACTGCATGGAGCACTGGTTGTTATACGAAAACAATGGATTGTGGATCACTACATCAAAAACTAACGATGTATTGTATGGTGACTAACACAGCATAATAAAATTTAAAAAAAAAGTAATGAGAAGAAAATTTCAAAGCAGCGATAATGGTAGAACATGTTACATAGGGATTAAATAAGTAAATGCATGGAAAGTGTAAAATAGTCACAAAATAAAAAAATAAAAAAAAACTAATGATGTGTGGTAACTAACATAACATAATAAAATTAAAAAAAAAAAAGAAAAAGAAAGAAATATAGCTTGAACTCAGAGTTGCTGCAGGGACCTGGAGGCCTTGAGCTGTCCTGGATCTTTATCCTTCAGCTACCAGATGGTGGACAGGTCTCATGGTCCTGGGGGAGGGGCTGAGGTGACTGAGGGCACTTGGGTGGGGTTGGGGGTCAGGGCAGTGTCTATTTGCCAACCAATTCAAACATATTCTGATAGTTACAGCCAGTAGGGCACACCAGTGCATCTAGCCCAATCCCAGCCATGCACAAACATACCTGCCCACAGGCCTCTGTCCAGGCGCCCGGCACCTTGTCATTCCCTCGGATCCAGTTATGAATGGCTTCTGCTGGCTGCTCCCAGTTGATCTGTGGGGCAAGACATGTGTGCTCAGCCAGTCTCTTCCTTACTCCTTGGTCCCTGCCATTCCCCCACCTCCCCTCAACTCCCCACCTCCCAGCCACCTCCCACCCCAACTGTGCCCTGATGACCCTTGACTGGGTGAAGATAAACCTTAGGATGATAAGGGAAGAAAACACTCTGTTAAGATGGCCAAAGCTTTACACAACCTCCCCAGTACAGAGTGCAGGCCCATCCCATAGGCACCCCGACAGCTTCTCCTCACCTGCAGGGCTCACATAGATCTCTATGCACCTCATAAGCCCTGAGCAGAGGTACAGCCCATAGGTCCCGCCCAGACCCCCAAGGCTGCAATAGCTCCAAGAAACTGAATTACCTCTCATACCCCATCTTAGAGACTTCCAGCCCTATGGCTGATTTTTTTACACACTGCCCCACCCCAGCTCTTCTCCTGGGGGACCCTCCCTGCCCATTCTTCCCTAAGGGAACAGAGAAGAACTCAGAACACACCATGCTCCCTGCCTGTCCAGGTGCCACATGAGTTTTGCTCATGCGTCTCCTGCCTGGGCTGCTCTCTCTTCAGGCCTTAAGCAATTACAACTTGGCCATTCAGCCTGAACCCCAGCTTCCCTGGGACACCCTCTGCATCCCAGCCCATGCACAGGCAAGCTTCAGGGTGGGCAGGGCCCTGCACTCACCTTGGCTGTTTCCTTCTTCTGAATGCCCTCATAGGTGGCTCCCTCCTCAGGCTGAGGGAGTCTGGGGGCTTTGCCCTCTGCAATCAGCCTCACAGCCTGCACCTGGGGAGACCAGGTGAGTTGGCATCCCCAGCATTACTATCCTCCCCTTACTCCCAGCCCCTGGGTTCACCATGAGCCTGGACTCAGCCCCACACCGACCAGACTTGCCTGGCCCCACACCTGGTACACAATGGGCACCCAAGGAATATCCATCATAGGAATGGGTACAGTTAGCCTGAATCTAACTCCAATCTGAACAATGAGTACAAAATCCTGCCCTCTCTACCACACACAGTTTTAGAGGATTATATAGAAGATCTTGTACCTTCTGAGATCTTAGAAGACTATATAAACTACAGAGCCCTGTAGAGGTATAACAAACACAAATTGCCATGTTTTTGTCTAAAACCTTCCCTATCTTTTAAGGACAATGGATCCTGAGCCCCATGATGTGTTTGGAAGTCTGAGATTAAGCAGGAAGCAGTTTCTCTGTTAAAGAAAGGGGAAGGTTGTGGAAGAAAGAATCAGGGAAGTGAGAAGGAGAGCCAGGGAGCCTGGGCCCATCCTGAAGGGGTCCTGGGGGAAGAGCCCCAGAGCCGCCCAAACCAAGAAGTGATGAGCATCAGAAATGTCTAAAGTAGGACTGCCCTGCAGAATGTTCTGTGGTGGTAGACATGTTCTATGTCAGAACTCTCCAATACAATGGCCATCGGCCATGCATAGTTCCTGTCTTGGGGACGTGAAAGGTAGCTAGTGGGACTGAGGAACTCAATTTTTAATTAAAATCCAATTTAATTAATTTAATAGCTGCATATGACTAGCAGCTGCCATATTGGACAGCGTAGCCCCAAAGGGTGTTTTTAGTGTTTCCTGTGGGATGTGCCCGATAACCCCCTTCTCTGTCTCTCATATCAAATCTCCAGCAAATCTACTCTGTTCACTACTTTTGTGAGTAGGGGGATTCCATGGGAGAGAATACAAGAGGCATCTTGTTTGACACAATGTGAAAAATAAAAGGTGGCTGGCAAGAAGCAGGAGCAGAAGGAAGGGGATGGCTGACATAGGGGCAGTGGTGAACACTCTCAGTCATTGCAATGTTTATTGCTACCTCCAAACAGGGTCTGTTCTCCCCTTCGATATGGCCTCCTGTCTGCCTCCTGCCTCCTGATGGTATCAATGGGAAGCTCCAGTGTGTCTGCCTTTGGCCAACCCTGGCTGGCCTCTTCTGGCTCCGCCACCAGTAGCCCCACAGACACAGCAGTCCCTGGGAGGTGAGGCCCCACGGGGCCTGCCTTCTGTGCCAACCACAACTGTGTCTGACTTCAGGCCTTTTTGTCTGTCTTGCTCTGATGACAGAAACCTCTCTCTGCAGACAACTCAGCCTGCATGACTACCAGTCGGCCTCTCTGATTTTTCATTCATGAATTCTGTGAGAAAAGGAGTTTTTCTTCCTTTGGAATCAAGAGGTATAAGCCTTGAGCCACCAGTGACTCCCTTTCCTCCCATTTGAGGGCAGCCCACCTGAAGATGAAGCTAATCAAACAGAAAAGTAGAATCAGTAGGAAGACAGAGATACAGAATCCTATGACATGGCTTATTCCTCTGGACTCAGCCATGCTTGACACCACCCTTGCCTTTTGTCTTCTATAGTAAATGGGCCAAAAATGTTCCCTTTTTGGATAAAGCTTTTTGAATAGGGTTCTGTCACTTGTAAGCAAGAGTCTCGCCTGACACCATACATTGTATGTCCTAATCCTGCCTCTTTGAGACCCTGACATGAGGGCTCTCTCCCTCCAGAATCCTGGAACTGGGGGAGCAGCCTGGGTGGGGGGGCAGGCTGGGCCTAGAAAGGGTACCAGCATAGGGAGGCCCACATGTGGCATGGCCAGATCCCAGCCCTTACCATCCCTTTGATGCCTTCAGGGAAGAGGAAGCGGTTGTACAGAGTGCTCACGGTGTCGTCCGGGAGGATCTCACACTCCTTCTGGAGCAAAAGGTCCCCAGTGTCCAGACCATCATCTGCCCAGAAGATGGTAAACCCCCCTTTCTTGTCTCCATGAATGAGGGTCCTGGGGAGCACAAGTATGAAAGCCTGAGTCCAGGAGGAAGGACCAGGGAGAAGGGCAAACTGGGGGCAGCTCCTGTGGCCCCTGGTCACCCTCCAACAACCCCCTTCATGCCCCGCCCCTGAGAGGACCGATACCTGCTCTGGTGAGACCTGGAAAGAGAGGGTATTTACTGACACCAACCACATGCTAGGTGTTGTGGTAAAAGCCCTATATGCCTGATATGACATAATACCCCAACAGGTGTCACAGGCATTGTATGCCCCTTTTGCAGATAAGGAAACTGAGGCCCAGAGAAGTGAAGAGATGTAACCAGAGGTCAGGGAGCCTGAATCCCAGTCTGACTACAAACCCACTCTTTTCCCAGCTCAGATGTCTCTCCTTGCTGATCACCCAACTAAACTGCACCACCCATCAGTCACATCATCCCGTTTATTGTCTCCTGAGTGCTTATCATGTCAAACTATCTTGTTCAGGTGCCCTTTTACTTCTTCTCTATCCCTTTCCAAGTGGGATGCTATCATGTACTGGCAATGGGTGTGGGTTAAAACAGGCCTCTGGCCACATGGCCTGGGTTGGTCCCTTGGGTGAACACCTTAACCCCCTCTGTCCCAGTGTCCCTGCTGCAGGATGGGAACACTGAAGTGCTCACTTCACAGTTTACTGGGGGAACGCAGAGCATTTGATGATGCCTGTCCCGGTTCTCTCCGGCACTCTTGATTACCCCTCACACCTCACCAGTCAGCTGTGTGGATGCCATCTGGCAGCGTAGGACAGGCCCCTGCATGATGCCTGCTCTGTAGCCCCAGAGGAAAGCTCTGGGCTAAGGGAGGATGACTTCTGGACAGATGGGGGTGTTTTTGCCCTGTCTCACCAGTTGATGGCCGAGGCCCCTCGGTGCCGGGGGAGCAGACTTGGGTGGTAGATGATGGAGCCGTGGCAGGGGGCACTGATGACCTCCATGGGGATGAACTGGCTGCAGAAGGGCAGGACGTTGAGCTCGGCACCCAAAGCCTGGTATTTCGCCACCACATCAGGCAGAGCCTGTCCTTTTACCCGCCAGCGGGGGAACTTGAACACTGGCACTCCATCCTTCTCAGCTTCCAGGCCTGTGGGACAGCAGGTGAGAAACTGGCCCCTCCCTGCATGCACCCAACCACAGCTACCGCTGCCTTCCCAGCAAAGTGACTCCTGCATCTTCTCTCCCAGTCTGTCCCGCCTGTCCTTCCCCACTGCACAGGCTCCACTGGGCAGTGCAGAAGGGACAGCACCAAGGGGATAGCACTGGCCAATGGCAAGGTTTCAGGGGCTGCTCCGCACGGACGGACTGCTGCTGACCTCCAAGACATCTAAGTCCCCCTTGCCCAGACTCCTGTCTGGCCCCCAAAGACTGAGCTCTTCTCCTCAACCCCTCCCACAGCCTCATCATGCTGTCCCCAAGTTAATGTCCTCCACCCTTCTACTGCTCTCTGGGATGGCAGCTGGGACCCTGCAAACTACATTCCTGTTTCATCAGCTGCCTGCCAAGCACTGCTGATAAGGGGTGCTGGAGGGAGACTAAAAGGTTGAAGAGAAGAGGAAAGAAGGCAAGGGAGCAGGGACTCACTCCTTTCGGTCAGGTTCCTGTCCTGAGAGTCCCCCATCCCCCACCTCACTTCTTCACCCTAGAGGCAGCATTGTCTTCCCAGAGTAGCAGCTGACTTAGTTTGCTGTTTTCCCAATATCTGCAGAATTAGCCCCAATGTACACCTTCCTCCCACTATGTCTGCCCTCCAGGGTCGGGGTCTCAGTTTTCAGGCACCCCACCCCACCTAGTTACCAGCACCTATGGGCAGCATGCTCAGTCCTCACAGGTCTGAATTAGAGCCTCAAGCTGCCAAGTTGTAAGAGTTAGAGCTTCCCTCTGTTGCCCCAGCCTGAGAGGCGGCAGCTGCCATCGGCAGTCACTACCCTGACAGCTTGGAGTTCTCTTTTGCCTGCCCTCTGCAGCACTTAACAAATACATCCCTGTACTGGGTTCTCTGTTAGAACAGCCAGTATGATGACTGGCCTCTGACTGGACCTGACCTGCTCTCTAGCCCTCTCTGCCTCTGCCCTGCATTCGGGGGTATTGAGGGAGGGTGGGATCAAAGCGAGCAGACTGGACACTGTGCTTGAAAAAGCTGTCCATGCTGTGATCAAAGAAACACTTCCACAAGACATCCAAGGTCAGGGTCAAGTCCCAGCTAAGCTCTGTCTGGGTCTAAGCTCAGAGACTAGTATCAGTGGTCACTTAGTGGCTGAGGGCAGGGCTCAGGCTGTGGTGAGGTCAGGCTATATCATGGGTCACACTGGGGTCAAGTCTAAGACTGAGGCCTGGTTAGCATTGCAGTGGTCCTGGAGCTGGGTCCAGGGGTCAGCTGGGCTTCTCAGTCTAGGGAGATTCATTATTCCTATGAACCATGCCCCTGTGCTTGGCCAGCCCCACAAGGCTCCTTTCTCAATCTGGCCTTCCATTTTAAGCCCTGCTTTATATTCTGCATCCATCTGGCCTGAGAAGGACTTGAGTGATCCTGGAGGTTCATTTGAGCTGAGGGTCCTTGCATCCTGAAGTGCTGCTGAGGCTCCCAGCCTAGAGGCCAGTGATTCTTAAACTGTGCTCTTCCTAGAGCCAGATGCATCAGCATCACCTGGGAACTTGTTAGAAATGCAAATTCTTAGACTCAATCCCATCCTTTTGAACAGAAACTCCCAGGGAAGGGCTCAGCACTTTGCATAACAGGCACTCCCACTGTTGGGGATACCCTGCACATTCACATTTGAGAACACTGACCTTCAGTGTCTCGCATCTAGCAGCCCTTTCAGAGCATGGTGCTGGGGTCAGAGGAGCCTGGAATGGTCAGACAGCAGGGCCCTGGGGGCAGACTGGGCTTCTCCCTGGCCCTTCTCCAGGACACAAACTCCATCCTATGATCAGTTGGGGAAGGGGTCGCTATTTTGTTCTAGAAAAGCCGGGAAGCTGGTTGGCACCTGAGCAGGATTCAAGGTGAACCATGTAAGCCTGCCTCCAGCCAGGGATGCCCATGACCACCGCAAGACTTCTGCTTCCACCCATTGCCCACTGCTACCTGCCTGCCTGGGCACCCCCTTTCCCTGTTCCTGGGCCATCCACTCACCCAGGGGATCCGCCTTCCCATCCTTGTCTGGGACAGTGAACACGCCCACGACCTCATGGCCCTCCTTCCTGAGGTGGCAGTAAACTTCCTGGCCAAACAAGCTCTGCCCAATCACTGCGATCTTCATGACAGAAGGGATGGGTCAGAAGGATCTGGGGATGGAATAAGACCATAGTGTTAGACAGGGCTCACTGGCCTCAGGAAGCCGGCCCTAGTCCAAGTGGACAACTGCACAGCACCTTGCCTGCCCAGCCCACCTCAACCACTTGGGGTCACCTCTGGGGCTCCCTGAGCATCAGATCTCTGCAGAGAACCACTACTGTAAAAGGGCCAGAGGAGAAGGTTTTGCAAGGAAGGGATTTTAGATGCCACAGTGGGTGATTCGAATAGAGATTATAGAATTAGGGATTCCTCCTTGAAACCCTCCAAATTGGCATGGAACACTGAGAGTCAAGACCTCTGAGATGTATTTGAGCATATTTCTGTAACTAACCAGTTCTGTGACCTGGTTACATCAAGCCTCAGTTTTCTCAGATGCTGTGTTCCTCAAACAGCTTTCAGCCTGCACATCAGGCTTATTTCCCTGAGCCAGAAAGCAGCAAGGGAGCCTGGACCTAAGGGCCTGTTTATCTCGGCCTCACAGAAAAGAATGCCTGGGTGGATGGGCCCTGAGGACTGAAGGTGGGGCCAGGGGGAATGAAATGGGGTGCCACTGGGCTGGCCAAGTAGAGGGAAGATATGTGAAATAATGAGTAGTTACATCATGCAAATGTCTCCAAAGTTTGGTCACTCAATTACCATGCTCATATCTATAACACCAATTGTTCACTTGATACATTTCTTTAAATCATCCATTTGTAAAAATATACATGTCTTTTGGAAAATTTTATTGTAGTATTAGCATGCTTCATACATACAGAAAAGTGCAGAATTATAGGTATATACTTCAATGAATTTCACAAACTAAGCACACCCCAGTAATCGGCACTCAGAGAAAGAAATACTCCAGCAGTCCACATATATGTATGTTTGTATTTATATAAATAGAATCATGCAGTGTAATGTTCTGTGGATTTTTTTCCACTCAACATTATCCACATTGTTGCATGTAGTTGTACTGTGTTCATTCTCATTGCTGCATGGTATTTCACTGTGTGAATGTAAATAAATACATTTATTCATCCATTCTACTGTTGATGGGCATTTGGGTAGTTTCCAGTTTGAGGCTATTACGATAGGGATGCTATCAAGATTCTCAGGCACACGATTCTTACTGTATATAGATATGAATTTCCGTTGGGCAAATTCTATTCCTAGGAGTGGAATTTTGGGGTCAGAGACATGAAAATGTTCAGCTTTAACAGATTCTGTCCATTTTCCAAAGTGGTTGTACCTATTTCCAAGCCCATGTACTTGGCATAGAGGCCTTGTGTCTTTTTCTTTTCAGCTATTTTGCTAACGTGAAATATAGCCATGTCATTGGGGTTTAATTTGCAATTCCTTGATGACTATTGAGGTTGAGCACCTTTTTCTATGTTTATTGGCCACTTGAACATCTGTTTATGGGAACTGCCTCTTTAAGCTTTTTGTCTTTTTTTATTAGGTGGTCTTTTCCTTACTGATTTGCAAGAGGGTTTTTTGTTTGTTTGTTTTATTTTGTTTTTTAATAATCTAGACTATCAATCCTTTGTCACATATATTTATGAAACATAACTTCAATTCTGTGGCTTGATTTTTCACTGTCTTATGGTGTTTTTTAATGAACCCAAGTTCTTAAACTTAACACAGTATACTCATCAAAATTTCCCTTTATGGTTAGTGGGTTTTGTAATCTATTTATGAAATTGTTGCTTATGCCAGTTCATGAAGATGTCCTCTCTGTGTCCTAAAGTCTTTATTGTTGGACAAAGGAGCAAACTCAATAAAATAGAGCAAAAATAGTTTTTAACAAATGGCTCTGGAACAACTGAACATCCACATGCAAAAATGTGAATCTAGACACAGATATTACACCCTTTACAGAAATTTTCTCAAAATACATCACAGACTTAAATGTAAAATGCAAGATTATAACTCCTAGAAGATAACACAGGAGAAAATTTAATGACCTTGTGTATGCAGTGACTTTTCAGATACAACATCAAAGTACAATTCATGAAAGAAAAATTGATAAGCTGGACTTCATTAAGATTAAAAGCTTCCATTCTGCAAGAGAGAATGAGGAGGCAAGCTCACAGACTGGGAGAAAACATTTGCAAAAGACACACTGATAAAGGACTGTTATGCAAAATATACAAAAAAAACCTCTGAAAACTCAACAATTACAAAACAAAAAAACCTGAATAAAATGTAGGCTGAATTCCTAAACAGACATGTCAGCAAACAAGATATACAGATGACAAATAAGTATATGAAAAGATGCTCCACATCATAGGTAATCAAGGAAATGCAACTTAAAAGAACAAAGGGATACTACACACCTATTAGAATGACCAAAATCTGGAACACTGACAATATGAAGTGCTGGTGAGAATGTAGAGCAACAGGAACTCTCATACACTGTTGATGGTAATGCAAAATGACATGGTCACTTTGGAAGACATTTTGGCAGTTTCTTACAAAAGGAAACATATTGTTACCATACGATCCAACAATCACATTCTTTGGTATTTACTCAAAGGAGTTGAAAACTTACATGCACACAAAAACCTGCACATGGCTGTTTATAGCACCTTTATTCATAATTACCAAAACCTGGAAGCAACCAAGGTGTCTTCCAGTAGGTGAATGGATTGATAAACTGTGGTACATTCAGACAATAGCACTGAAAATAAATGGCTATCGAGCCATAAAAAGACATGTAGGAAACAAATACATATTACTAAGTAAAAGAAGTCAATCTTGTAAGGCTACATAATGTATGACTCCAATTATATGACGTTCTGGAAAAGGCAAACTATGGAGACAGTAAAAAATCAGAGGCTACTAAGGGTGGGAGAAGGGAAAGAGATGAATAGGTGGAGCACAGGATTTTTAGGCAATGAAAGCACTCTGTGTGATACCATAATGATGGATACATATCATTATGCTTTTGTCCAAACCCTTAATATAAGGTACAACACCAAGAGTAAACCCTAATGTAAACTATGGACTCTGGGTGATGCTGTATTGGTGTAGGTTCATCAGTCATTACAAATCTATCACTCTGGTGGAGGAAGTTGATAACAGAGGATGTTTTGTGTGGCAAGAGGCACTGGGTATATAAGAAATCTCTGTACCTGCCCCTTAATTTTGCTGTGAACTTAAAACTACTCTAAAAAATAAATTCTTAGTTTTAAAAGAGATATTAGGAAAAAAATTCATTGTTTTGCTTTTTTATATTTCATTGCATGCAATCCTTCTGGAATTGACTTTTGTGTATGACATAGAAGTCCAGAGATATTTTTCCAGTACCATATATGGGTAAATCTGTCTCTGGACTTGTATTCTATTCCATTGTCAGTTTGTCTATCTTTGAGTTCATTATAGCTTAAAAATTTTGTTGGAAGAACAAATATTGTGAAGATGTCAATGCTACCTAGAGCAATCTACACATTCAATGCAATCCCTATCAAAATACCAACAACTTTTTTCAAAGAAATGGAACAAATAGGAATTTCGAGGAGGGGGAAAGATGGCAGAGGAGTAGGGGACCCTATTTCAAATGGTCCCCGGAATTGAGCTGGATATCTACCAGACCACTCTGAGCACCCACGAAACCAGCCTGAGATGTAAGAAGATCTGGATCTCTACAAACAGAATATTGCAGGCAGTTGGTTTTGAGGTATGAAGCGAAGAGCCGTGATTCTGCGGGCAGATAGCGGAAGATAAAAGGAGGCGGGAGGGTGCCTAGATGTAGGGATCCTACATCACCGGTGAGTGACAGCCTCACGCGCTGCGGACGGCGCACAGACTCGCAGACCAGTAGTGTCGGGAAAGAACTTTAGGGCAGCCCCTGGCGTGGAAAACCAGACTGGTGGGGTCACGCGCACGTGAACCGCAGGCCTCCCGGACAGAAACCGGAGCGACGGTCACACGCACGCGAACTGCAGCCTCGGAGATGGAAACCCAGTGCGCCAGGGTCACGCCGGTGAACTGCAACCCGCGGGGGTGGAAACCCCAAGCGGTGGAGTCGCGTGTGCACGCGCGTGCGCAAATTGGAAGCAGCTGGCGGTTTTAGAAGCACAAAGGGCAGAGACGAGCCCCGACCTGGAGACAGGACTGGGAGCACTGCGAAGGGGTGCACAACCGAGGTCGCTGCAGTTTATAGCATCAGGGACAGAAACAGAGACAGTGTGGCCTGCAGAGCTCACTGAAAAACAGACTGAGGTCTCTCTGCTCTGAGGCAGAGGGTTGGAAATGGTCTCTTCTGCTCGGACTCACAGAAGAGACACAGAAAGCCACCAGGGAAAGGTGCCAGAGAACAAAAGCCCCAAAGACTGATTCCCACTGAGCCCATCCCCTGCCACAGGGGTGCAGGGAAACTCCGCCCAAACAGGATTGCCTGAGTAACAGCGTGGCAGGCCCCTCCCATAGAAGACACACTGGGAAAACAAGAGGCCAGCAACCCTAAGGTCCCAAGAAAACAGGTGCATCTTGCTTGGGTTCTGTCAATAATTTGGACTCTATACATTCCCTCAAACACCTATCAACAGAATGACTAGGAGGAGGAGCCCCCAAAATAGAAAAGACTCAGAGATTATGACTTATTCTACAGATTTACAAATGGATGCAGATATAACCAAGATGTCAGAGATGGAATTCAGGCTAGCAATTGTGAAGACAATGGCTAGAATGGAGAAATCAATTAATGGCAACATAGAGTCTCTAAGAGCAGAAATAAAAGGGGAATTGGCAGAACTTAAAAATGCTATCAATGAGATCCAATCCAATCTAGATAATCTAACAGCTAGGGTAACTGAGACAGAAGAGAGAATAAGCGATCTGGAAGACAGTATAATAGATAAAAAGGGAAACAAGAAGGCCAGGGAAAAACAACTCAGAATCCATGAAAATAGAATCAGAGAAATAAGTGACAACATGAGGCATTCCAATGTCAGAATAATTGGAATCCCGGAGGGAGTGGAGAGAGAGAGAGGGCTAGAAGATGTATTTGAGCTAATTGTAGCTGAGAACTTCCCTAATCTGGGGAATGAAACAAATATTCGAGTCCTAGAGGCAGAGAGGACCCCTCCTAAGATCAAGGGAAACAGGCCAACACCCCGGCATGTAATAGTAAAACTTGCAAATCTTAGAACCAAGGAAACCATCTTAAGGGCAGTTAGGGGGAAGAGATTCCTTATGTACAGAGGGAGGAACATCAGAATAACGTCAGACCTATCCACAGAGATCTGGCAAGCCAGAAAGGCCTGGCAAGACATATTTAGAGTACTAAATGAGAAGAACATGCAGTCAAGAATACTTTATCCGGCAAGGCTTTCATTTAGAATGGATGGAGAGATGCAGAGCTTCCACGACCGGCAGAAGTTGAAAGAATATGTGACCACTAAGCTGGCCCTGCAAGAAATATTAAAGGGGGTTCTATAAAAGGAGAAAGACCCAAAGAGTGATCTACAACAGAAATTTACAGGGATAATCTATAAAAACAACGTCTTCACAGGCAACATGATGACAATTAATTCATATCTTTCAATAATCACTCTCAACGTGAATGGCCTAAATGCTCCCATAAAACGGCACAGGGTTGCAGATTGGATAAAAACACAGGACCCATCCATATGCTGTCTACAAGAGACTCATTTTGAACCTAAAGATACATCCAGAATGAAAGTGAAGGGATGGAGATCCATCTTCCATGCCAGCGGACCTCAAAAGAAAGCTGGGGTAGCAATTCTTATATCAGACAAATTAGATTTTAAACTAAAGTCTGTAATAAGAGACACAGAAGGACACTATATCATTCTTAAATGGTCTATCCAACAAGAAGATCTACCAATTGTAAATATCTATGCCCCCAACATGGGAGCAGCCATCTACATAAGCCAACTGTTAACCAAAATAAAGAGTCATATTGATAACAATACGTTAATTGTAGGAGACCTCAATACTCCACTCTCCATAATGGACCGATCATCTAAGCAGAAAATCAACAAGGAAACAAGAGCTTTGAATGATACATTGGACCAGATGGACCTCATAGATATTTACAGAACATTCCACACTAAAACAACAGAATACTCATTCTTCTCAAGCGCACATGGAACTTTCTCCAGAATAGACCACATACTGGGTCACAAATCAGGTCTCAACCAATACCAAAAGATTGAGATTATTCCCTGCATATTCTCAGACCACGATGCTCTAAAACTGGAACTCAATCCCAAGAAAAAATTTGGCAGAAATTCAAACACTTGAAAGCTAAAGACCACTCTGCTCAAGAATGTTTGGGTCAACCAAGAAATCAAAGAAGAACTTAAACAATTCATGGAAATCAATGAGAACGAAAACACATCAGTCCAAAACCTATGGGATACTGCAAAGGCAGTCCTAAGGGGGAAATACATAGCCATCCAAGCCTCACTCAAAAAAACAGAAAAATCCCAAATTCACCAACTAACTCTACACCTTAAAGAACTAGAGAAAAAGCAACAAATGGCGCCTAAGCCACGCATTAGAAGAGAAATAATTAAAATTAGAGCAGAAATCAATGAATTAGAAACCAGAAACACAGTAGATCAGATCAACGAAACTAGAAGTTGGTTCTTTGAAAGAATTAATAAGATTGATAAACCACTGGCCAGACTTATACAAAAGAAGAGAGAAAGGACCCAAATTAATAAAATTATGAATGAAAGGGGAGAGATCACAACTAACACCAAGGAAATAGAAACAATTATTAGAAATTATTATCAACAACTATATGCCAGTAAACTGAGCAGTCTGGATGAAATGGAGGCCTTCCTGGAAACCTATAAGCTGCCAAGACTGAAACAGGAAGAAATAGACAACCTGAATAGGCCAATAACCAGTAACGAGATTGAAGCAGTGATCAAAAACCTCCCCAAAAACAAGAGTCCAGGGCCTGATGGATTCCCTGGGGAATTCTACCAAACATTCAAAGAAGAAATAATACCTATTCTACTGAAGCTGTTTCCAAAAATAGAAACAGAAGGAAAACTTCCAGACTCATTCTATGAGGCCAGCATTACCTTAATCCCCAAACCAGGCAAAGACCCCATCAAAAAGGAGAATTTCAGACCGATATCCCTGATGAATATGGATTCCAAAATCCTCAACAAAATCCTAGCTAATAGGATCCAACAATACATTAAAAGGATCATCCACCACGACCAAGTGGGATTTATCCCTGGGATGCAAGGGTGGTTCAACATTCGCAAATCAATCAATGTGATAGAACACATTAATAAGAGGAGGGAGAAGAACCATAGGGTCCTCTCAATTGATGCAGAAAAAGCATTTGACAAAATACAACATCCTTTCCTGATTAAAACTCTCCAGAGTATAGGGATAGAGGGAACATTCCTCAAGCTCATAAAATCCATCTATGAAAAACCCACAGCGAATATCATCCTCAATGGGGAAAAGCTGAGAGCCTTTCCCTTAACATCAGGAACACGTCAAGGGTGCCCACTCTCACCACTGTTGTTCAACATAGTACTAGAAGTCCTAGCAACAGCAATCAGACAACAAAAAGAAATAAAAGGTATTCAAATTGGCAAAGAAGAAGTCAAACTCTCTCTTTTCGCAGACGACATGATACTTTATGTGGAAAACCCAAAAGACTCCACCCCCAAATTACTAGAACTCATCCAGCAATTCAGTAATGTGGCAGGATACAAAATCAATGCACAGAAATCAGTTGCTTTCTTATACACTAACAACACAACTGTAGGAAGAGAAATTAGAGAAACGATTCCATTTACAATAGCACCAAAAACCATAAGATACATCGGAATAAACCTAACCAAAGAGGTAAAGGATCTATACTCTAGGAACACAAAACACTCATGAAAGAAATTGAAGGAGACACAAAAAGATGAAAAAACATTCCATGCTCATGGATCGGAAGAATACACATTGTTAAAATGCCAATGCTACCCAGAGCAATCTATACCTTCAATGCCATCCCGATCAAAATTGCAATGACATTTTTCAAAGTGCTGGAACAAACAATCCTAAAATTTGTATGGAATCAGAAAAGACCCCGAATTGCCAAGGAGATGTTGGAAAAGAAAAACAAAGCTGGGGACATCACGTTGCCCGATTTCAAGCTATATTACAAAGCAGTGATCACCAAGACAGCATGGTACTGGCACAAAAACAGACATACAGACCAATGGAACAGAATAGAGAACCCAGATATGGACCCTCAACTCTATGGTCAAATAATCTTTGACAAAGCAGGAAAAAACATGCAATGGAAAAAAGACAGTCTCTTCAATAAATGGTACTGGGAAAATTGGACAGCCAAATGCAGAAGAATGAAACTCGACCATTCTCTAACACCACTCACAAAGATAAACTCAAAGTGGATGAAAGACCTCAATGTGAGACAGGAATCCATCAAAATCCTAGAGGAGAACATAGGCAGTAACCTCTTTGACATCGGCCACAGCAACTTCTTTCAAGATACATCTCCAAAAGCTAGTGAAACAAAAGCAAAAATGAACTTTTGGGACTTCGTCAAGATAAAAAGCTTCTGCACAGCAAAGGAAACAGTCAACAAAACAAAGAGGCAACCCACAGAATGGGAGAAGATATTTGCAAATGACACTACAGATAAAGGGCTGGTATCCAAAATCTATAAAGAACTTCTCAAACTCAACACCCAAAAAACAAATAATCAAGTCAAAAAGTGGGCAGAAGAGATGAACAGACACTTCTCTGAAGAAGACATACAAATGGCTAACATACACATGAAAAATGGTTCATCATCATTAGCCATCAGGGAAATCCAAATCAAAACCACACTGAGAGTGGGTGCCTGGGTGTGCGCGCGGGAAGATGGCTGAGCAGTTGCCGAAATCTGTGCTCTTCGTGTGTCTGGGTAACATCTGTTGGTCACCCATTGCAGAAACAGTTTTCAGAAAACTTGTAAATGATCAAAAGCTTTCAGATCATTGGGTCATTGACAGTGGTGCTATTTCTGACTGGAACGTGGGCCGGTCACCAGATCCAAGAACTCTGAGCTTCCTCAGAAATCATGGCATTAACACAGCCCATAAAGCAAGACAGGTTACCAAGGAAGACTTTGCCACATTTGATTATATACTATATATGGATGAAAGCAATCTAAGAGACTTGAATAGAAAAAGTAATCAAATTAAAAACTGCAAAGCTAAAATTGAACTACTTGGGAGCTATGATCCGCAAAATCATCTCATTATTGAAGACCCCTATTATGGGAATGAGTCCAACTTTGAGACTGTCTACCAGCAGTGTGTGAGGTGCTGCAGAACCTTCCTGGAGAAGGCCCGCTAATGCCACACCCATTCTCCCTGCAGCCCCAGGCTGGGCCCCGCAGGCTCTGCTGTGAGGCTGCAGCTGTTTCTTCAGTTGACACTCGGTTTCTTACCTTAAATAATTGTAGATGGAAATCAGTTATTGTATCTGACAGACAAATGAATAAAAATGTTTCATCCAGACAGTTTATGGGGTATGAGAAGTGTTCTTAGACCCGCTGAACCTCCCGCTTTGCCCCAGTTACAAAAATAGTGGAACAAACAAAATAGAACAGGCACCAGAGCATGAGGACATCCAGCGTCCCTTTCGGGCACACGAGTTCTGCCTCTTCCTCAAGTTTGTGGACGACCGATGGGGACCCTGTCCTCCGCTGTCTGCACAAGCCAGCCCCAGCAGCCCATCCACAGGAGCTCCCAGCCGAGACTCACCCTTGCTCGCAGTGCACACTGTTTACATAGAAGAGTTAAGGTGTTAGTCTGCAGAACCTTTCCAACCTGCTAGTTTATTTCATCAGGAAGTCAGCTTGATTCCATTGGAACCATTTTGCCTCTGGAAAGTTACAGCCAGAAAGAAGGACACTGTATGCTGGTTTATCTTATTGTCTGTTTGAGGAACGTGTCTGTTTTTCAATGCCTGTAGAACCCAAATGTCAAATATAGATTAGCCTAGGTGGGAAAAAATAATTAAAAAGTCGGGGAAAGTTCTTTTATGTCGAGCTGCTTAAATATTGAGACATTAAGTATTCTTTCATCAGTGCTTAATTTATAGACAAATATAGGTAATTTCTGTGCACTTGGAGGTAACTAATCTAAAATTCATATGGATATATGGCAGAAAAGATTGTTTTCAAAATAAACTGCGGAAATTATAAAAATACAAAAAAAAAAAAACAAACCACACTGAGATACCACCTTACACCAGTTAGAATGGCAGAAATGGACAGGGAAAGAAACAACAAATGTTGGAGACGTTGTGGAGAAAGGGGAACCCTCTTACACTGTTGGTGGGAATGCAAGTTGGTACAGCCACTTTGGAAAACAGTGTGGAGGTTCCTCAAAAAGTTAAAAATAGAGCTACCCTAGGACCCAGCAATTGCACTACTGGGTATTTACCCCAAAGACACAGATGTAGTGAAAAGAAGGGCCATATGCACCCCAATGTTCATAGCAGCAATGTCCGCAATAGCCAAACTGTGGCAAGAGCCGAGATGCCCTTCAACAGATGAATGGATAAAGAAGATATGGTCCATATATACAATGGAATATTACTCAGCCATCAGAAAAGATGAATACCCAACTTTTACATCAACATGGATGGGACTAGAGGAGATATGCTAAGTGAAATAAGTCAAGCAGAGAAAGTCAATTATCATATGGTTTCACTTATTTGTGGAACATAAGGAATAACATGGAGGACATTAGGAGAAGGAAGGGAAAAATAGGGGAGGGGGAATTGGAGGGAGAGATGAACCATGAGAGACTATGGACCTGAGAAACAAACAGGGTTCTAGAGGGGAGGGGGGAGGGGGGATTGGTTAGCCCGGTGATGGGTATTAAGGAGGGCACGTGGTGCATGGAGCACTGCGTGTTATACGAAAACAATGGATCATGGATCACTACATCAAAAACTAATGATGTAATCTACGGTGACTAACATAATATAATAAAATTAAAAACTACCAAAAAAAAAGTTCATAAATAAAATATTTACAAATGCAAAAAAAAAAAAAAAAGAACTTGCCATTTTAATCATTTCTAAATGTGCAGTTCAGACATTTTTTACATTCACAGTATTGTGTAAGCATCACAACTATTTCATCACCCCAAACAGAAACTCTATGTTTATTAAGCAATAACTTCCCATTTCCAACCACCATCAGTATCCCCTGTTAACCTCTAATCTACTTTCTGTCTCTACAAATTTGACTATTCTTGGTATAACATATAAGTGGAATCATACAATATTTTCCTTTTGTATCTGGCTTAGTTCACTTAGCACAATGTTTCCAAGGTTTAAGCATGTTGTAGCATGTGTCAGAACTTTACTCCTTTTTATGAAGGAATTTTATCTATTTGTGTGTATGCATGTGCGTGCATGTCTGTATACATCCATTCATCTATTGATGCACACTGGGCCATTTCTACCTTTTGGCTATAGTGAATAATGCTGCAATGAACATTGGTATACAAGTATCTGTTCGAACTCAGGAAACAACAGATGTTGGCAAGGTTGTGGAGAAAGGGGAACCCTCCTACACTGTTGGTGGGAATGCAAACTGGTGCAATCTCTCTGGAAAACAGTACAGGGGTTCCTCAAAAAGTTAAAAATAGGGGCACCTGGGTGGCTCAGTCGTTAAGCAGCTGCCTTTGGCTCAGGTCATGATCCCAGCAAGGGTCCTGGGATGGAGCCCCACATTGGGCTCCCTGCTCAGCGGGAAGCCTGCTTCTCCCTCTCCCTTTCCCTCTCCCACTCCCCTTGCTTGTGTTCCTTCTCTTGCTGTGTCTCTCTCTATCAAATAAATAAATAAAATCTTTTTTTAAAAAAGTTAAAAATAGAACTACCCTATGACCCAGGAATGCACTACTAGGTGTTTATCCAAAGGATACACACATAGTGATTCGAAGGGGTACATGCACCCCAATGTTTATAGCAGCAATGCCCACAATTGCCAAAATACACACACACACACACACACACTGGAATATTACTCAGCCATCAAAAAGAACGACATCTTTCCATTTGCAATGACATGGATGGAACGAGAGGGTATTATGCTAAGCAAAATAAATCAGTCAGAGAAAGACAAATACCATTGATTTCACTCATATGTGGAATTTAAGAAACAAAACAGATGAACATGGGGGAAGGGAAGGAAAAATAAGTAAGATGAAAACAGAGAGGGAGGCAAACCATAAGAGACTCTTAACTACAGGGAACAAACTGAGTGTTGCTGGAGGGGCGGTGTCTGGGGGAGTGGGGTAACTGGGTGATGGGCATTAAGGAGGGTACTTGATGTAATGCGCACTGGGTGTTGTATGCAACTGATGAATCACTGAATTCTACCTCTGAAACTAATACGACAGTGTATGTTAATTAAATTGAATTTAAATACAAAATTTAAAAATAAAAATTTAAAAATAAAAAAATGAAACCAAGTATCTGTTTGAATATCTGTTTTGTGAAACAATTAAAAATGGAAAAAAGACTTGAATGGACAGTTCTCCAATGAAGATATACAAATGGTCAATAAGCACATAAAAAAATGTTCAACCTTATTAGTCAGTAGGGAAATGTCAATTATAATGAAATTATATGCCAATTATAATGCCATTATAATGAAATATCACTTCATACCTACTTTGGTTCGTCTATAATATTTCAATCAGGGAAAACAAGTGTTGGCAAAGATGTGGAAAATTAGAACTATTATACATTGCTGGTAAAGAATGTAAAATGGTGCAGTCACTGTGGAAAAGAGTTTGGAGATCTTCAAAAATCCAAACATAAAATTACTATATTCCTCAGCAATTCCACTCCTAGGTATATTATATAATTGGGTTGTCTTTTTGTTTTTGAGTTGTAGGAATTCTTTATAAATTTTGAATATTAATACCTTATCACATATATAATTTGCAAATATTTTCTCCCATTTTGAAAGTGGTCTTTTCATTTTCTGGATAATATCCTTTGCTGCACAGAAGCTTTTAACTTTGGTGAAGTCAAATTTACCTATTTCTCTTTTGTTGCTTTTGGTATATATCTAAAATTCCAATGCCAAACACAACATCATGAAGATTTACCCCTATCTTTTCTTCTAGGGTTTTATGATTTAGCTGTTACGTTTAGGTGATTGACCAATTTTAAGTTAGTTTTTGTACATGCTGTGTGCTAGGGATCCCACTTCATTCTTTTACATGTGGAAATCCAGCTGCCCCAACAACATTTATTGAAGACACTAATCTTTCCCCATTTAGTGGATTTGTTAAAAACCAATTGGCCAGACAAGTATGGGTTTATTTCTAGACTCCCACTTCTAACCATTGATCAGGGTGATGCTGTTTTGATTACAGTAGCTTTGTAGTAAGTTTTGAAATCAGAAAGTGAGTTCTCAAAAACAAACAAACAAAACACACACACACACAAACCCAAAAAAACAAACAAACAAAAAGAAAGTGAGTTCTTCAAATGTATTCTTTTTCAAGATTGTTTTGACTAGTTAGGGCCTCTTGCAATTACATCAGAGTTTTAGGATTGGCTTTTCTATTTCTGCCTAAAAGGCTCTTGAAATTTTGATAAGGATTGTGTTGTATCTGTAGATAACTTTGAGTAGTATTGTAAATATATTAAAGCTTTTTACCCATGAACATAGCGTGTCTTTATTTATTTAGGTCTTGTGTAATTTCCTTTAGTAATGTTTTATGATTTTCATTGTACAAGACTTTCACTTCTTTGGTTAAACTACTTCCTAGATGTTTCATACATTTTTTAAAGTTTTAGGTGTACAATTCAGTGATTCATTGCTTTCATACAATACCCAGGGCTGCTAGAGGAGGCAAGATGGTGAAGGAGTAGGGAACCATGTTTCATCTGGTCTGTTGAATTTAGCTAGATGACTATCAAATCATCCTGAACACCCATGAATTCAACCCAAGATGTAAGAAAAGAGTATTTGGAACTCTACAAGTAGAAAAGCAACCACTTTTTGCAAAGTAGGATGTGTGGAGAAATGATTCAGAGGGGATATATCAGAAGGTAATTGGCGGGGGTTGGGGGAAGTCTCAGTAAGCCAGCTACCAGAAAGTGATATAGCCCCAGAGGGCAAAATCAGCACCCTTAGAAATCTGCTCCAGGGACGCCTGGGTGTCTCAGTCGGTTAAGCATCTGCCTTCAGCTCAGGTCATGATCCCAGGGTCCTGGGATTGAGTCCCGCATTGGGCTCCCTGCTCTGCAGGGAGCCTGCTTCTCCCTCTGCCTCTGCCTCTCTCTCATGAATAAATAAATAAAATCTTAAAAAAAAATCTGCTCCAGTGAGAGATATCCCTGCATGAAAGGTGCTCAGATGGTGAAACGGGGCATAATTCTAAGTGGGACAGTGTGGTCTCAGGATCCCTGGAGTCACAGAAAGAATGGGGGTGCCTGAGCCAGTAAAGTTCCCAAGCAGTGGAGTGGGGAAACTGTTTACACCCAGCGAGACTGGGAGGGGACTCTCAGCCCCCTTCACCATAAACCATGAGCCATGGCCCCACCAGGTGACTGCTCTCTATGTGGGGACCCTACAAAGGACAGGAATGTGGGGACCAACCTTCTTGCCCTGGGAGGGGCGGAGCATGTGTGCACATGACCGGGGGACAGCTCTCAGTGCCAGAGCCTTGCAAAAGACAGGAAAGTGATGACCCTCCACTTTCCCTGGGTAGGGATGGAGCGGGTGCACACATGATCCTGAGAC